CTCATCAAGCTTTATAACTAACTTCTAAGAAATACAGAGGATAGGAGAAAAAATAGGCATCACAAGGAAGCAAGAAGACAGTTTCGGAATATGAACTACTCTCTAAGACAACTGATCCATCTCTTCAAGTCTGTTCCATGGGAAAAATATAAGTGGGGGCGGTGGATAGTTTACAATTAAAAGATTGTTATGACTGGGCTTTATGACTCAGCCTGTAATCACAGCACTTTGGGAGGCCAAGGCGAGTGGATTGCCTGAGCCCACTGGTTCGAGACCAGCCCAGACAGCTTAGTGAAATCTCATCTCTACAGTAAATAAAAAATTACAGCCGGGCTCGGTGGCTCAGCCTGTAATCCCAGCACTTTGGGAGGCTGAGACAGAGGATTGTCTGAGCCCGTGGGCTCGAGACCCACCCGGGCAACTTGGTGAGACCTTGTCTCTACAATAAATCAAAAATTAGCTGGATGTGGTAGCACATACCTGAAGTTCCCACTACTTGGAAGGCTGAGGCGGAAGGATCGCAGGAGCCCAGCAGGTCGAGGCTGTGGTGGATGGAGCGTGCCACTACCTTCCAGCCTGGGTGACAGAGTGAGACTCCAACTCAAAAAAAAAAAAAATTAGCCAGATATGGTAGCATGCGCCTGTAGTTCCAGCTACTTGGAAGACTGAGGCGGAGGGATCACCGGAGCCCAGGAGGTCGATGCTGGGGTGGCTGTGAGCATGCCACTGCACTCCTCCAGCCTGGACAACAGAGTGAGACTTCAACTCAAAAAAAAAAGATTCTTATGAGAAAAGCAGATACAGGCAATTTGTGCAACTTGTTGGATAAAAATCATAAAGATGGTAGTTGAACAGAGATGACTAAAACATAAATCTGACATTTAAGAAAAGTCACTTTATTATAAAAACTAAATGTATGGCCGGGCTTGGTGGCGTGCATTGGTAGTTCTAACTACTTGGAAGGCTGAGGCGTAAGGATTGCAGGTCGAGACTGCGGTGGCCGTTAGCGTGCCACTACACTCCAGTCTGGGCGACAAGAGTGAGACTCCAACTAAAAAAAAAAAAAGACTAAATATAATAAAAAGCTAGTGAATATGTATTATATATATTTAATTATTCTTTTGAATATTTCAGAAACAATTTAACCATCTCTTAAGATTTTATGAAAGGACAAGTTTAGAAATGGCAAATTGTTCAGTCAGCAAACATGTTTCATTTTCTTTTGGACTCCTTTTAGATCAGTTATCCACAATTTTCTAAGTTTCTGCAATCCCACAGTTTATAGACTTTACCCAGATGACCTTGTCTTGTATACAGTATTTTTAGAGTGAGCAGTCCTTCTGTTTCTTCTCAGCAGGGGATCCACAAATATCAATCTCAATGACTACAAAAAGTGTCGAGATTATGGAGCCAAATGTGAATAATTCCTGAGGGTAGAAACTCAGATCTCTGAGGATAGAACCAAAGACCACAGTATAAGAAATCTGAACCTAGAGGGTCTTAGGCTAAGTAATTATGAGCTACAGAGTATACTTAGAGTTCTCTGGGTGTTTTTAAAGTACTTTGTTTTATATCTAAGTTCTCTGTTGAATTAAGGATACCTTTCAAGTATACCTGGAAGTGCCATTGCTATTTTTTCATGCACTAAGGCTATTGCTTCTGTGCATTCAGACATAGATAAGGGATGTGATGATGTTGATGGGCTGTGAGATTGTATAGAATTTGACAGATAAGGAAAGATTTTGATTCTTTGTGGAAAATACGTTGAAGTCAAAATATCATTGTGCTTTGGCCCTAATGGGATAAGGTAAGCAGCAGTATGAACTGCAACTGTTTTTAAGAATTAGGTACAGTCCTAGATCTAAAGATATTACTCTATCAAGAAAACTCTACATACTTACTTAGGGGAATTGATTTGAAAGTGCAGAACATCAAGTATTATTTTTGAATATGTAGAATTGACCCTGTGTGGTTAACTGCTAACTTAGTTATCAAGTAAAGAGCTCTTCAATGAATCATGAAGGTTCCCTATCTCCACACACACCACAGACTACTGAAATGAATAATTAAAGAGTGCTAGTCTCATTGCTAGAAATGTATTATTGAATGTACATGAGCCGTGTATAATCTGAAACTTGGTTAAGTGAAGTTTTATTTTACAGAAAAGATAAATTTTATGTAATCCATAACTCATATTCTGTATATGACTCCTTTGCATTGTATTAATTTCATTTTTAAAAGTGTAAACTAGTTGGAAGAGTCCTTAATTGGCCAAATTTGAGACATTATTTCAAAGTGAAGCAAAAACACTGTTACCTGGGAAACAGTTTTTCTAGCTAGAATCTGGAAGTGATTTTGGAAGTTGCTCTTGTTTTTCATTTCTTTTTCTTTTTCCAATTGTAAACCTACAGATTTTCTGATAGTTTCAAGTATATCATATCAGTTTGGACCATATTGTTGCCCTTTTTATAATTAAAAAATGATAGTATATTGGCAGTTTTACATGGTTCAGTTTAATATAAAGTTCAAAAAATAGTCCTACAGTTGGGGCAAATTCATTATTTTATCTGGGGAAGATAATATTGCTCAAAGTAACTTTTGAGATTACTTTTAATTTAGAGGATTCTTATTACTTATTGTTTTGTGTTATTATTTGTTATTGTTGCAAATTGATAGTAAATTTAAGTATAATATGCATAGATAAAACAGTGGGTTTTAGACACATGATGAAATTGTTGGCCTGTCACAGTGGCTCAAGCCCGTAATCCCAGCACTTTGGGAGGCTGAGGTGAGGAGATTGCCTGAGCCCACGGGTTCAAGACCAGCCTGGGCAACTCGGTGAGACTTCATCTTTACAATAAATTTAAAAAAAATTAGCTGGGCATGGTAGCACATGCCTGTAGTTCCGGCTACTTGGAAGACTGAGGTGGAAAGGTCGCCTGAGCTCAGCAGGTCAACACTGGGGTGGCTGTGAGCGTGCCACTGCACTCCAGCTTGGGTGATGGAGTGAAACTCCCACTCAAAAAAAAAAAAAATTGTTCAGAAAGATGGTGGTAGTTGAATATACTCTTAACCTCTTTAAATTAAAATTCTAGATCAGGTGTGTCCAACTGCGGCCCGCCAGCCACATGTAGCCCAGGACAGCTAGTAATGTGGCCCTGCAACATCTTTTAACATCATTTTTTTTTGGCATTTATATTCTTCATGACCCCATGTGTAGTTACATTTTTGAAGTTCACAGTTGTACCTTATTCATGACATTGCTTCTTAGCAGCACATACATTTGTGAACAGTTGTTTTCAATTATGAAGCACACGAAGAGCAACTTTCCAGCAAACATTTCCGATGAGGAACTTGAGAACACAATAGGAATTGCGACCACTTCCATCAAACCAGAGATTGATAGATTAATTTTACAAAAATAAAGTCAAATTTCCCACTAGTTTTATATTATCCTCATTTTTCTAAACTTTATAATAAAATATTTTTAAAAAAGAAGTCTTATTATGTTTATACACCAACTATATTATATAATTTATGTGCAGCCCGAGACAATTCTTTACTCAGTGCGGCCCAAGGAAGCCAAAAGGTTGGATACTGCTGCTCTAGATTGTTCCACACAAAATTCTATTTTTCTACCAACAGAAATAAAATATTCAACTAAATAAACATTTTTTATGATCCAGTGTTTAGTTTTTTGGTTTTTAATATTTTTAAATTTGTAATGATTCATTTATAAAATGTACAGGCTACTTGGTTTCTATTTTAGGAAATATGGCGCAAAGATAATTAGGAGGTATGTGTGTGTGTGTGTGTGTGTGTGTGTATACACACACATATACATACACATTTCTTCATGAATTTTTTAAACTTCTAAAATAGATTCTACATCAGCATCTTCTTTCTAGCATCCTTTGCCTTTCTTGCATTATTTATTTATTTATTTCTCCTATTTAGTTTTTGTTCTTTCCTTAACTTGTTCACTTTCTTCCTTCATTGTTCTAGTCTTTGCCTGTTCAACTCTCTGTTTTGCCACTTTCTCTTGTTAGGGAAAGCAGCGAGCAGCAGCCAGGCAACAGAACTTAACATGTGTTTACACTACAGAAGGAAGCTAATTATCATTGCTTCATACAGAGGAAGCCCTGTTTTCCTTACTTAATTGCTTTTCTTTTATATTAGAAAAACCATGTGCCTTATGGAGCACCATGGTGCTTGTGGTTGTCTGTCTGTGGCATCAAGACAGTTGATAAACCACTATGTAGGAAGTCAGACAGGATAGCAGTTTACGTCAACAATAATTTATGAAACTTGTTGGGGCAAATAAGCACCATTCTGAGTGGGGAGCATTCAGATATTCAAATTGAACTTCAAATACATTTATACATCCATCCGTCTGTCTGTCTGTCTATCTATCTATCATCTGTTTGCTCATTTGTTTTTTGAGTTGGAGTCTCACTCTGTCACCCAGGCTGTAGTGCAGTGGCAGGCTCACAGCCACCTCTAGCCTTCCAAGTAGCTGGAACTGCAGGCGTGCACCATCGTGCCCAGCTAATTTTTTATTTTTTATTGTGGAGAAGAGGTCTCGCCTAGTTGCCTAGGCTGATCTTGAACCCCTGGGGTTCAGGCAGTCCTCTCTCCTCTGCCTCCCAAAGTGTTGGAATTACAGGTGTGAGCCAGCGCACCCAGCCAAATACAGATATTTAAACTAAAGTTTTCATTGTCTTGTTATCTATAAAATGAGAAAAATAAGGAGGAGAATAAACTACTAGGCAGGAATATATAAGGATAAGAGATGATTATGTAAAAGGCTTAAAGCAATCTCTAACAAGAAGCAAGTGAATACGTGAAAGCCACCATCACTGAAAATTTGTTCTTAATTGTCTATGTTATGTTGATGTATTTATTCATTATTTCTTCCACAATTGTAAATCCCATTTGAATCCTAAACTGCTGACCACCATTAAACTATTATTATTTAACTTCTTTGTTTTGTTTTACAGGCAACAATTGGCATTGACTTTTTATCAAAAACAATGTACTTGGAGGATCGAACAGTGAGTAATATTTTCACTGTGCAATTTTTTGCAACATTCCAGCTTAGAAAACTATGATCAAAGCTATAGTCAATTGTTGTTACCGTAAGAAGTACTTAACAAGGTTACCGTTGAGTAAAACTCTTACTACAGAGTGAATAGTACCTATTCACCTGATCAGGAACAATGAGAATAGCTTTAATAGCGAATTGTCATGAAGAAATGGGAGTTGCTTAAGACTCTTTGAATATGCTACTCTTGAGGCTTTCAGGCAGATTCATTTGCATATCACACAGTTTGTGAACTTCAAGATTTTCTCTCTCAGAATAGGATGTATAATGAAGTGACTGAATAGGAAGAAGTAATATGTATTTATTTGTTAGATTTTTGTCTTCCTTCCTTTGAAATGATCTCTTTAAATTCAATATTAAATTTGTATTCTAGCCTATTCCCTTGAAGAGATTCTTGTCACCTAAACGGTGAATATCTTAAATGCAGTATTTTGGGACCTGTACCCCAAAAGCATTATTTCCAGTGCTGTTTCTTAGAAGTGTGTGTGTTTTTTTCTTTTCGATGTTCTCTTATGTTTTAATATATAGCATGCCATTTCATAAAATTTGAAAGCTTGGAAACTGCTTAATAATGGTTATAAGGTCTTGAGAAAAACTCTTATTACCGAGTAGTATCTAGTACTCATCTTGACTTGTAAAAATGAGGACAAATAACTTTAATATAGGTAATTAATAGAACTTGAGAACTTGGTGTGTGTTTTCAGACTTTTCCTGTAATATAGAAATGAGAAAGTAAGTAAAGAAATTTTTATGAAAGGTAGCAAAAAGATAGTCTTCCTTTTTGATACATTATATACCATATTCTAGGAAGAAATGTATGGGAGAAAAATAACCACAGTAGTTAAAGACACAATTTCAAAGTGTTCCAGAGTCCATAGGAAAGGAACACATGTTAGCCTCAGAGAGGCGATCAAGCAGCATTCATTCCTTTACTTTGATAGCCTGGACTGCTCACTGACATTTGCCTTAGTGTTTATCTTTTATGTTCCATATTTGAACATCAGCAGTCTACTTTTTGCCATCGGGAAGGCATAGGGATTCAGAGATTTTAAAGACGGAAAAAAGGGAAGCCATATTTCTGATTCTGTGAAATCTTTCCCAGAAGTGTTTTTCTTTCATATACCGTCAGAGTAAGCAACTTTTTAATATTACTCCCTTTTGCAAAAGGGTTTTTGAGTTGTTTTCATTTCTTTCTTCCCTGAAATCTCTTGCATGAGTCTCCTTTGTACTTCCATCCCACCCTCCCCCTTTAAAAATACATTATTTCTTTTTTATTTTTAGTATTAGTTTGGTTTTTTTTTTTTTTATTTATTTTTTCCCATCCCACAGATCAGGCTGCAGCTGTGGGATACTGCGGGTCAGGAACGTTTCCGTAGCCTCATTCCCAGTTACATCCGTGATTCTGCTGCAGCCGTAGTAGTTTACGATATCACAAGTAGGTATATTGCAACGGGTTGACCTTTCTTATTTTCTTGCCTGTTTGACTGATTTTGTTGTTAGGTACGATTGCAATTATGGGACACAGCAGGTCAAGAGCGGTTCAGGAGCTTGATTCCTAGCTACATTCGTGACTCCACTGTGGCAGTTGTTGTTTATGATATCACAAGTGAGTGGGGGGAATTATGCGTTTCTTATCTTCTTTCAACCTTTAGCTTAGCTGCATGCATGTTCTTGTCTTGTGCTTGTTTTCCTTACTGGCATGTAAAAATAAGTTTATCATAGTAAATCACATACCTGCCAGGTCAGAAATATTTTCTTTGGTTTTTGTACCAATAAGCTTGATTTCTATTGTGCCAGGTTTTTTCCTGCAGAAATTTTCTTTTGGGTTCAGTTATGAATCCTCTTCAAGACTTTCTTAGTATCCTGTTATCCCTAAGTCATACCGTAATTAAGCGGGAGGAATGTCTCCTTTTCATTTAATTTGATCTCAAATTTCTCTAAATTAAAATAATCTGCATTTAAGCATTAAGCCTCCTGCCAAGTTTTTCAAATCCTCCAAGGTTTCTGTTGAGGCTATTAAAAGCTTCGGCTAGCCAGCTTTTCTCTGCTTTCCCCTTCCAGTCATTTTCCCCTCTATAGAGGAAGACAGAGAAAACACACGTGCTATTTTCTTTTAATCATTTTTATTGGGAATCATATCTGGATTCTGTGACTGACTTATTTACTTTATTGCTAACATTACACTTTCATGTCTGTCCAAGAAAAAAATTTTAAATGGAAGACAAAACAAGTAGTAATCTGTTTTTCTTTCCCCCCCCAAACTGAATAATGCCTTTGGCCTCATAAGTAACTATTAGTTTTCCATGGAGCATTGATGACTGACAGGAAAATGCTCTCTGATTGAAATTGTCTATGTAAATCGGTTTGTGACATACATTAGGCAATATTAAGCATCATTCCATATAGTAGTCCCTAATTTGTGGAAAACCAGGGTTATACAGCATCTTGGCCTTTTAAAAAAACATACAGACAAACTTTTGTTTTGAGCTAGTAATACTGTTACTGTACATTTTTTGCGTATCTGCTCAATCAGAGGTCATATCTAGTAAACAATAAATGCACTGGCAAAATGAGAAGTTAGAAGATTGTATTCAAGAACTTTTTTTTTTTTCTGGATAGGTGCTATATGCAGACTTTCTTCCCTTGCAGCTTTACTTTGGGTTGCTACTTGTTTAAAAAATATATATATATCTTCATTATTGTGCATTGACAAGTTTTGTAGCTTAAAGATGTTTGTGCTTACTTTAACCAAAGCAAGTGAAACATGGTATATTTTTCTTTAAAAGTTCCACAAATGTAGTTAAAATATTAGTAAATTATATTCTTTAGTTGTCTTGAAAAGTGCTGAAGTTCTCTACTTAGAATTCAACACTAGAAAAAATAAATTTTGTTACAAGTGGTTCTGGTGCATTAAACCAATAAACTTTAGGTTAAAGTGATCACAAAATGAATAAGCAATGCAAACAGTGGTGTTGAAAGCTATTGAAAGGCTTTACAAATCTGGATGTATTGGGATATACTGGCTGATGTTCTTTTGGAAATGCTTTCTTTGTCATGTTTGGTATGTGTAAGTGGTCAACAAAGCATTGTGGCAATGTGACACCATATTATCTGCCATAGCTGCCCTTATCTTTCTTTCTTTTTTTTTTTTTTTGAGTCAGAGTCTCACTTTGTCACCCAGACTAGAGTGCAGTGGCACTCTCATGGCCACCCCAGCATCGACCTGCTGGACTCCAGCCATCCTTTTGCCTCAGCCTTTCAAGTAGCTGGAACTACAGGTGTGCTCTAACACACCTGGCTAATTTTTTGATATATTGTAGAGACAAGGTCTCACCAAGTTGCCCAGGCTGTTCTCTCACCTTGGCCCCTCAAAGTGCTGGGATTACAAGACTTGAGTCACTGCCGTGCCCAGCCTGCCCTTATATTTCAAAACTTTTTCCGGTTGCATAGTACATTGTACTCATTTGATCATGTTCAAACATTTTAAAAACTACTCTAAAAGGAACCTTGAAGATTTTACTCTTGTGATTTTTTTTCTTTTTAATCACTGACAGTTATAATCAGATAAAATGGAGTTATGTTGCAGGCACATTAAAGGTGGGGTACTAATGTGCCAGTCCCCTTTCAACTTGCAGGGCTTTTTTGAAGGAGGGTGTCCATCACCTTGGGAGGCATTTTTCAGTAACACTAATCTCTCTGTCCACCCTCCTATATTAGATGTTAACTCATTCCAGCAAACTACAAAATGGATTGATGATGTCAGAACAGAAAGAGGAAGTGATGTTATCATCATGCTAGTAGGAAATAAAACAGATCTTGCTGATAAGAGGTATGGAGTGATTTTATGTGTGTGTAATATTTGGTTTGTATATTAAGCAGCCTGTTATTTTTTTTCATCAAAAAATTGTAGTAAAAGGAGACATTGTATTGTATTGTACCGTATTGTATTATATTGAAAGGAAGAATTGTGTTGAAAGGAGAATAAGTTTGTACTCACCTTTTTCTTTAGTGTGGGTACCTGATATATAAATGTAAACATTAAACCCAGTCCTTAAGGGAAAATGAGTTTTATTTTGTTTAAGTCCTGTGTAAATAACTCTTGTGCAAGATTGTTAAGACATAAAGCTGGTAAATATTTTGCAATTTTTAGATTTCATAAGTGTGAGTAGTGTTTTGTTAAGGAGCAAACCGTTTTAGAAAACAAATCTTATCTTTAAAAATTATTCTTAATGACTAAATGCACACTCTTAGTAGTCTTACAGACTGAATTCATTATAATTCAGTAGGTTTTCTGTTTTGGGGGCTTTTTTTTCCTTTTCTTTACTTGTATGGTTAAGCCAGACAGTGTAGCTGAACTGAATAGCTTGATTGTGTTACCTTAGTCAAATGAGCAAAGCCATATTCAAGTCACAGGATGCAAAATGTATTAACATTCACTGTAGAACCCATGGTTTGAATATCTGCTTTCAGCCTTCTTAAGCATTCTACTGCATATTCTTTCTGCTTTGAATAGTTTTGACCATACTACTTAATAGTAGGAACTTTTACTATTTATTATTTGTTTATTCATTAGATAAATTTTGGAATTTGGATAGTGAACTTGTGATATTAATTAAAATGTTGCAAAGATATCCAGTATTCAAAGACTTGTGGAGGTGTTAAGCCCATTTCTGTCCATGGCACCTCAATTAGAATTACTAATACATTTGCAAAAAATTCTTTCTTAATTTAAAAGTAAATTTAAAGTATGGTTTCATCTTTTCTTCATGAAAATCATTTTTGGACATGAACTGCTATGATGAAAATTTTTGCTGTATTATTTATCTTCAGTGTGAGATTCTGAAGATTGTGTTAGTATATTCATTCTAGTAGAGAGTTAATAGGTACCTTCTTTTTTAAATAGAAAAATTGTATATTTGATTTTTTTTCCCTTTAAACCTAGAGTCATTGGAGTAGGATGCCTATATGCATTTGTTCTTTTATTGCTTAATATTTCAGTTGAATGCACAGATGGTAGAAACTTATCTAAGGTAATATTTGTTAGTTGCTTTGAAATTACCATCTTTCTCAGTAATGTTGCCAGACTACTACCTCTCAACTATTACATTGAAAAGAATGAAGAGCTTATTCTTTCCACTACAGTGATTATCAAATGAGTGAAAGATTTCATGCTTTTTTTAAAAAGCATTAAGAGAAAATATTTTGGTAGTAAGTGGACTTCTGTAAGCATGACATGAAATCCTGAAGCTATAAAGGGAAATACTGATAAATTTGAATACATAAATATAAAGATCATATTCACCTATTAGCTTGGCCTTAATCAAGAAGATTTATAATACATAGTATTGTCAGGAGTTTGAATAAACAAGAACTCTCATACACTGAAAATATGACTGTATCCAATTTTGGGGAGAAACAAATTGACAATATCAGAATGTAAACTACTTATTGACCCTAATTTACCACCAATATCCCACAAATAGGCTCATAGAAATATGAAAAGTTGGCCATATAAGACTGTTTCTTGCAACGTCATCATCATCATTATTATTATTTTGACTTGGAGTCTCTGTCACCCAGGCTGGAATGTGGCACGGCTACTGCAGCCTCGACTTGCTGGGCTCAGATGATCCTTCTACCTCAGCCTTCTACTGTCCTCAGCTAACTTTTTTATTTATTGTAGAGACGAGGTCTCACCAGGTTGCACAGGCTGGTCTTGAACCCTTCAGACAATCCTCTTGCTTCCACCTCCCAATCTCTTGCAACATTATTTATAATACTAAAAAAATTAAAATCAATCCAAATATATATCAGTAGCTGATTGGATATATAAATAGTATTTTATAAGTGAAATACTTTGTAGTCATTAAAAAAGAATGAGGCCAGGCACGGTGGCTCAAGCCTGGAATCCCAGCACTTTGGAAGGCCAAGGTGAGAGAATTGCCTGAGCCCAGGGGTTCGAGACCAGCCTGGGCAACTTGGTGAGGCCTTGTCTCTACAATATATCAAAAAATTAGCGGGGCGTGGTAGCGCATGCCTATAGTTCCAGCTGCTTGGAAAGCTGAGGCAGAAGGATCGTGTGAGCCCAGCAAGTCGAGTCTGTGGTTGGCATGAGCGTGCCACTGCACTCTGGCCTGGGAGACAGAGTGAGACTCCAAAAAAAAAAAAGCATATGCCCGACACATGAAGCTTAGAAAGCACTCGATCAGTGTGTATAGCGTGATATCTTTTCCATTAAAAAAAAAAAAAAAAACAGATATATTTATTTGCTTAGAACACATCTGGATAAAAGTGCAAGAAACTTAATCATGATTGTTTTTTGGGAAGGGAATGGGGTTTTAGAGCAATTGATTACGGTGATTCATCTTTTAAAAATGGTTACTTCTGTAATCAGAAAAAAACTGTTTTATCATTATTATTATTATTTATGTATTTATTTATTTTTTTCTGAGTCAGGGTCTCACTCTGTTACCCAGACTAGAGTGCAGTGACATGATCTTAGCTCTCTGCAGCCTCTAACTCTTGAACTCAAGCAGTCCTCTCATCTCAGCCTCCTCAGTAGCTGGGACAACAGGCGTGTGTCACCAAACCAGGCTAATTTTGATTTTTTTGTAGAGACAAGATCTCACTCTGTTACCCAGGCTGGTCTCAAACCCCTGGGCTCAAGTAATCCTTCTGCCTCGGCCTCCTGAAGTGCTAGGGTTATAGGTGTGAGCTACCACACTTGGCGAAGATGTTTTACAAAAAAGTTCAAAGTTAAATGTTTTTATCACTTTCTTTGAGAATGAATACTACTTTTTTTCTTTTCAAGGCTTGGAGAAGATTCCAAAGTATATCTGTTTCAGTGTCTTAGTATAAACTCCTTGGTGCTCAGTGCTCATTCTGTCCTCTGTAGCCTAATGATTCTCAAGTGTTTCAAATTTAAGAATCACTTGGTAAATATGGCTTACTAGATTCTCTTATAAGACTCTGGCTCTAAAGGATCATGGTGAACCTTTTAAATATGGGAGTTTTTGATCCTACTTCTACATACTTTGATTTGGTGGATCTAGAGTAGGGCCCTTGAATCTATATTTTAAAGAATCTTCCCTTGGTCGGTCTGAAACAGTCACACTACAGTTGGGGACCATTGCTATAGCTAACCTTCAATCGTTTTATTAGAATGACCCTACTGAATATACTCAGGATTCCAAAACCAGGAAGAATTTCTGTCTGGAGCCCTCCACATGTAGGGCTTATAGACTAGTGATCATTCATTCAAGAAATATTTATTGGTGTTATTTATGTCCCAGATGCAGCATTTATGTCCCAGATGCTGCTGTCCTAGCATAGAACAGTGAACAAAAAAGACAAATCGTCAAGGAACTTTTATTCCAGAGAGTGATCCATACAATAAATTAGTCTATAAGATACATAGTATGTTAGGTAGTGATATATGCTAAGGGGGAAAAATTAAGTAGGGAAAGGGGACTTGAAATGTTAAGGATGAGTTTGAAATTTTACATAGATTGGCAGTGGAGTTTAGATTGGCAATGGAGTTAACTATTTAGAGAGGGAAGTTAACTATGTAACTATCTTGAGTGGAAAAAGGTTCTAGGCAAAGGGCAAAATGCAAAATCCTCAGAAAATGCAAAATCCTGACTTAGGAATACACTTAACTTATTCAAGGAATGGCAAGGAGGCCTAATATATGAGGGGGAACCCAAAAAGAAACAATTATTTTTTGGTGGTTGAGTCCCTTGTAGAACAGGCTTTCCCCACTAGGTAAATGTTTTAGGAACCTACCTGCATCAGTGTACCAGCTAGCGTTGTTGTGAGAGGCTGCATTAGGCTTCAGTGAAATTTTTTTAGATATTCTTTCAATGCTGATTTATACTTGCCCACACCACAGTGAGCTTTCAGCAGTTTTTGACCAAAAATGGCATGACCCTCGTGCCCCACCCTTCTTGTTCACCCAGTCTTACCCTGAATGACCTTTTTTTGTTTCCCCTATGAAAAAATCCCTCAAAGGGAAATGTGGAAGAGGTGAAATAAGAAAAAGGCAGAAGTACTAAAAGATAGCAAAATTGACATTCAAAAACTGTTTTGAGCAGTGGAAAAAAGTCTCTGTAGTATATTGCATCAAATGGAGAGTACTTTGAAGGTGAATGAAGTTTTAAAATGTAAGAATAAGTACATCTTTTTATACATAAGTTCTGGGGTTTTTGGAGGTCCCCCCCATATGTAAAGAACTTCTAGAAATAAAGAATAAAATAGAAAAACAGCACTATAGAAAAATTGACTAGAAATATGGACAGTTCATGGAGAAAGTAAGATAGTTCTCTTAACTATTTGAAAGACTCAGTCTTGCTCTTGTTGAACTATAAGGTACAGTGGCTCCTAGCACTTGGGGAGACTGAGGTGGGAGGATTGCTTGACCTCAGGAGTTTGAGATCAGCCTGGGCAGCACTGCAAGACCTCATCTCTACAAAACAAATTTAAAAATTAGCTGAGTATGGTAGCATGTGCTACTCCAGAGGCTAAGATGGAAGGATTGCCTGAGCCCAGGAGATTTAAGCTCTTGTGACTGTGCCACTGCACCGGCCTGGATGACAGAGAGCCTCCGATTCAAAAGAAAAGAAAAGAAAGAAATACAGGTTGAAACTACACTGAGAAACATTTTTGTCTCAGTTTCAGATTGCTAGAATTCTAAGTTTGTTGAAAGCCTCTGCTACTAAGGCTACAGGGGAAACAATTGTTTTCATATATTGCTGAGTAGTGCAGAGTGGTTATATCCCTATAGAAAAGAGAGGGTTAATTTTTTGGCAGTGTCTAAAATGTGCATTTAGACACGGGTGAGAATACAAAAAGATGGCTGGGCTCAGTGGCTCAGTCTGTAATTCCAGCACTTTGGGAGGCCGAGGTGAGTGGATTGCCTGAGCCCATGGGTTCGAGGCTAGCCCAGGCAACTTGGCGAGACCTTGTCTCTACAATAAATAAATAATTAGCCAGGCATGATAGTGTGTGCCTGTAGCTCTGGCTACTTGGAATGCTGAGGCAGAAGGATTGCTGGTCATATATCCTGCAGGGTGACGCTGGGGTGGCCATGAGTGTGCCACTGCACTCCTGCCTGGGTGACAGAGTGAGACTCCAACTCCAAACAAAACAAAACCAAAAAAAAGAATACAAAAAGATATATATACACAAGGCTGTTTACTGTCACTTTTTATAATATCTAAAGACTGTAAATAACCCAAATGCCCACAAAAGGGAAATGATTTAATAAAATTAGGTACAGCTTTATAAAGGAGTACAAAACAAGTGTAAAAAAGAATGAGGAGCTGGGCTCGGTGGCTCAGCCTGTAATCCCGCGCCTTTGGGAGGCTGAGGTGAGTGGATTGCCTGAGCCTGTGGGTTCAAGACCCGCCTGGGCAGCGAGACCTCATCTCTACAATAAATCAAAAAAAAAAAAAAAAAGAAAGAAATCAGCCGGGCGTGGTAGCGCATGCCTGTAATTCCAGCTACTCAGAAGGTTGAGGCGGAGGGATCGCCAGAGCCCAGCAGGCGAGGCTGCGGTGACCGGGAGCGGCCACTGCACTCCAGTCTGGGCGACAGAGTGAGACTCCAACTCAAAAAAAAAAAAAAAAAAAAGAATGAGGAATATGTATATTACTATGAAGTGAATCTTCAGGATATATGACTAAATGAAAAAAGGCAAGTTGAAGTAGTATGTAACATATGGTATAGTTTACTTAAGAAAAAAGGAAATACAGATGTATATACATATTATTAAAAACAAAATGAAGTCCCTGCTGGGCTACTGCCCCACCTGGATTAGAATGCAGTGCCAGATACCTCCAGGAGAACCTGCAGCAGGAACTAGAAGCAGAGCATATGGAGATGGAGGACACAGCCTTCAACTGTTGTGCTGTGAATCCAGCTTCCAAGTCCTGGTGGTCTCTGCCAAGTTCGAGGAGGGAAGCTACTGCTTCAGAGACAATGGCTAGTGAACTATGTGCCTAGTGGAAGAGCTCCCACTCATTCATGCCTTTGAGAAGAAGACTCTGTCTCCAGAGCAGTGGGCCTATGAGCGGCAGAAATGAGGGACTGGGGCCTGTACAACCATTAAATTATAAATCAGAGCCAAAAAGGAAAGACATAAGTTTATTTTTTTATTATATTTTGTTTTGATTAATAAATTTGTTTGTTTGTTTTTGAGTTGGAGTCTCACTCCTTCACCCAGACTGGAGTGTAGTGGCACGCATGCTCACAATCACCCCAGCGTCAACCTGCTGGGCTCTGGCAATCTTCCCATCTCAGCCTTCTGAGTAGCCGGAACTACAAACTCAGGCTACCATACCTGGCTGTTTTTTATTTTATTGTAGAGATGAGGTCTCGCCATCTGGGCTGGTCTCAAACCCGCGGGCTCAGGCAGTCCACATGCCTCGACCTCCCAAAGTACAGGGCTTATAGGCTGAACCACTGAGCCTGGCCTAGACATATGTTTTTTGGGTTTTTTTGAGTTGGAGTGTTACTCTGTCACCCAGACTAGAGTACAGTGGCACACTCCCAGCCACCGCAGCCTCGACCTGCTGGCCTCCTAGAATTACAGGCTGAGCCATCGAACCCGGCCTAGACATAAGTTTAAAGAAAATAGGCCAGCCACAATGACTCACTCTTATAATCTCAGTGCTTTGGGAGGCCGAGGCAGAAAGATTGCTTGAGGCCAGGAGTTTGAAACCAGCCTGGCAATATAGCAAGACACATGGTGGCATGCTCCTATAGTCCTTACTGCTTGGAAGTCTGAAGCAGAAGTATCACTTGAGTCCAGGAGTTCAAGGCTGCAGTGAGTTATGATCGCACCACTGCACTCCATCCTAGGCAACAGAGCCAGACTCTTTCTCTTAAAAAGAAAGAGAGTGGCCAGGCGTGGTGGCTCACACCTATAATCCTAGCACTTTGAGGGGCCGAGGCAAGTGGATTGCCTGAGCCCGTGGGTTCGAGACCAGCTTGGGCAACTTGGCAAGACCTCATCTCTACAATAAATCAAGAAAAATTAGCCAGACATGGTGGCACATGCCTGTAGTTCCAGCTTCTTGGAAGGCTGAGGCCAAAGGATCACCGGAGCCCAGCAGGTCAAAGCATGTGGTGGCCGCTGTGGTGGCCGTGAGCATGCCACTGCACTCCAGCCTGGGTGACATAGTGAGACTCAAAAAAGAAAGAAAGAAGGAAGGAAGGAAGGGAAGGAAGGAAGAGACAGAAGGAAGGAGGAAGGAAGGAAGGAAAGAAAGAAAGAGCAGGAGGGAGTCAGCACTCTAGTCTTGGGGGTTGGAGCTTCAACACATGGAATTTTGGGAGTTCACCGTGACTGAATGACCTTGAACAAGTCATTCATCTTTCTGAGCTCCAGTTATCTCAGCTACTGAATCTAAATGCCATTTCTCTCTAAAGGAACCAGGGCTACTTGAAGAAATGGCAGATTTGGAGTCTGGGCCAGGAAATTTACTTTAATGGGCCTGGAATATCTTGTCATACCATAAATTAAGGAAGTGATTAAGCACCATTGGGGTCATGTCAGATTCAGGAGCCAACTCAAAGAAGCTCTACCGGTTAAAGATAGGAAAATTTAAAAAGTGGTAATTACTACAAAATATGTTTAAATTCACAAGTCATAATGATGTAATACTTGGGGAAAGATTAATTGGTTACCACTGGAAGATGCTAGAGATTGACTTGAGCATTTATCCTACTCCTCTTCCTCCCTCCCTTCTGCCATCCTCAGAATAACCAAATAGTTGAAAAAGTTTCTTTTTAAAGAAGTATTTCATTTGCTATAAATGACATTATTGGAACAATTAGCACCTGAATAAAATCTATAGATTCAATGATGGTATGATATTGATGTTAATTTCCAAATTTTAATAATTATCTGGTGGTTATATAAAAGAATGTCCTTGGCTTTAGAAATTGACACTGCTGAGGTATTTTGAGATAAAGTTCTGCAAATTGGCAATTTACTCTCAAAATGTTAAAATGTTTTTAGACACAGTAATTCATGCCTATAATCCCACATTTTGGAAGGCAGAAGCAGAGAAATCTCTTTAGTTTGAGACCAGCCTAGGCAACATAGTGAGACCTTGTCTCTACAAAAACTCAAAAAATTAACCATGTGCAGTATAGCCTTCCTGTAGTCCCAGCTACTCAAGAGGCTGAGGTGGAAGAATCACCCGAACCTGGGAGATCAAGGTACAGTAGCCATGATGGCACTACTGCACTCTAGCTTGACCAATAGAGCAATAAATAAATGTTTTTAACATTTAAAAATACAACAAGAGAGGCTAAAACAAGAAAATGTGAAATCTGAGTAGTTGGGAGTGTTACATAAGAGAATGTCCTTGTTTTTAGAGAGTGGAGATTTTCTGGAATAATATCTTCTGAATAGTCAAGAAGGGAATGGGATCTAACACATGGGTGTAAGTTTTGGGAATAAGGACAGTTCTTCCATAATAATAGGACTAGAGATAGGTCATACATGTAGATAGACGGGGGATCAGAACTTGTGGAAATTATCTTCCATTGTTCAGTTTTCTATATCGTAGGAAGCAGAGTTTGTCAACAGATAGTTTAGATCTGTTTGATTAAAACATTTGCATATTTATTGAATACCTGTGTGCCAGCTAGGCATTAGGAATACCAAGATAAATGAGATAATCTTGCACTTAAAGAGCTCACAGTTTGAAACACAGTGCTAATTGCAATACTTCACAAAATACCCTGTAAAAGAAATATTAAAGTATTAATATTTTATATCAAGAGGACTTACCATGCATTTCTTTGACTCACTTATTTCACTTACAGAAATTCACAAAATTCAGTCTAAGAAAGTGATTCACAGTGCACAATATATTAAGCACAAAGATGTTTAGGGAAGCATTTTCATAGTACTGTAAAATTTTAAGGCAACTTGCATTTTAATAGTTTGGGGATGGTTACATAAATTATAGGAGCAGATTGACAAACATTGTCCAACTGTAAAAATTATTTTATACAAAGTTTTAAATCACAGGCTAAATGCTTATGATCTAACATGGGAAAGAAACAGGTTATTACATTTATAAAAGTAAAAAGATTATAGGATGAGCTTAACCAAGTAAAAACAAATCAGTACAAAATGCCTTTTTAAAAAAGTATTAAGGCCAGTGGCTCCTGCTTATAATCCCAACACTTGGGGAGACCAAGGTGGGAGGATTACTTAAGCCCAAGAATTTGAGACCAGCTTGTGCAACATAATCAGACCGTGCCTTTACTAAAAAAATTTGTTTTGATTGGCCAGGCATAATGGTGCATGCTTTTAATCTCAGCTACTTGGGAAGGTGAGGCAGAAGGGTCCGCCTGAGCCTAGGATATTGAAGCAGTGGTGAGCTGTGATTGTGCCACCACCCTCCAGCGTGGGTGACAGTGTAAGTCCCCAACTCAAAAAAATTAAAAAGTTTTTAAATATAACACACACAAAAGTGCACAGATATCAGTTGTGCTCCAGGTTGATTAATTTTCAAACCAATCTCACTTATGTAACCCCAGCACCTGTATCAAGAAAAGTTATTTTCAGAGTCTTATTTATAATTTTGTAGTACCATATCATCTTTCAAAAGTAAGACTTTGTTTCTTTTTTTATTTTTCTGTAGGCAAGTGTCAATTGAGGAGGGAGAGAGGAAAGCCAAAGAGCTGAATGTTATGTTTATTGAAACTAGTGCAAAAGCAGGATACAACGTAAAGCAGGTAAGTGTTCTTTGAGTATGGGTTCAGGTTACCAGATTGTAAAAACAAGAAATAATTGTGGGAATATTCTATTCTCTGGTATAAGATTTTCTTCCCATTAGCATCAGGCCTCACAAATGAGCAATGTGTTTTCAAAGAATGAAGAAATGTAAATGTGGCATAGTTTTTGGAAAAAAGAGAAAAGATGCCAATATTTTCAGATTGTACACAGGACAACTTATTGCAAAAGTTTAAATATACCATAATCTCACTACATTCCTACTTCATTGTTTTAAAGGAAAATTTTCCTTATTTCAGAGTTTGATGAAAAGACTTCGGTGAATGAAAGCAAGTATTTGCTGTCGGTAGTGGTGTTTTGCTTGTTGTGAAAGTAAAGTCTGGTTACTTTATCCTTAATAAACTGCTGATGTTTAAACAGTATTTACAACAGTTGTTTTGAAGGAAAGAGGATAGGAAAATATAGAGAGACTTCACATTATCAAGCTAGTTTTTCTACAAGGTGAATCAGCCAGACTCACCTGCCTAATTTTGCAAGGCTACATTTCATATATAGTAGTGGTCCCAGATTTAAAGGATTTATGGACCAGTAATTTTTTTACCTGAAGGTTGTCAACAGAGAGTAAAATTGGCATTCTTTAAATAATTAAGGCTTTATGAAAAAGTCTCTATATTTCATTTTTGCTGCTTTATTTCCCATCCCACCATGCCTTGGACCATTATGTAATAATGAATAACATACTGTTTCATAGTTCCATACCTCTTTCATGCTCTTGCTCCCTTTGCTTAAAATGCTCTTTTTTTTCTGACTAATTCTTACTCATTTTAAATTTCATCTTAAATGTCAGTTCTTCAGCAGTGTTTCCTCGAACATTTCCCACCTTACTTCCTATCTGTGATAAATGATTCTCTTCTATGAAACCAGTGTCCTTGCTTACCACAACATATTGAAAATATCTCTCTCATCAAAATTATGTTTCCAAAATCTAGCAATGTGTATGGAATGTAGTAAGTGGTAAATAACTGAACCCACAGGAGCTACAGACAGGTAAACAATTTGTATAATAGAAGTTAACACAATATTAACCATATGCCACCGTACTAGGACAAAGCAATGGGTAAACATCTGGCATTCTTTAATAGAGACATTTTGATAAGAATGTGAACTAGTTGCTTATATGACATATAAGCAACTAGTTCACATTCTTATCAAAAAGTCTCTATTAAAGAATGTGTTTTTCTGTGTTAACAGCTAAAGAAGGTATTGCTGTAGCCCCTAGTCCTGATCCTAAGTAATCTCATAGGTTTCAAAGCTCTAGAATCGTCAGATAGCATATAGTGAGCACTACTGATGGTTTGTGTCTTCATAACATTTGATTGCTTCCAATTTTAGATAACTCCTAGGAAAACAGGTATCTCATTCATTTACTAATTTTAACAGCTTTATTGAAGTATAATTTACATACAATAAAATTCACTTGTTTTAAGTGTACAGTTTAATGATTTTTAGAAAATTTACAGCATTGTATAACCATTACCACAATTTGACATTAGAACATCTTCATAACTACATACATTATTTTTTCCAAAAACCGAATTTACAGATATAGCTATCTAGTAATAATGAAAAGAGATTAATTTTACAATCTTGTCCTGAATTTTAAAAACCCACTTGCTACTTTATTACTTCTCTTTATTTAGATGGTATGTCATTTTACAATCTTGTCCTGAATTAAAAACCTACTTGCTGCTTTATTACTTCTCTTTATTTAGATAGTATGTCTGAATATCTAATTTTGTTGGAGTTCCTGCTTTTACTGGGACTTGATTTTATTTTAATTTTTTTGTAGCTTCCTTCTTAACTCACAAAACCATTACTTGTTTTTCATTACAATATCTTAGTATTTTATTTTTATTAATTTAATTTTATTTATTATATTTTATTAATATACTACAGCATATTACTAGTTTATTTCATTATTTACAGACAATGCTTTGTCAGCTCATAAAATTCATTTAAGGAAGAAAAATCCTGGAAATAGGAAAATGAAACCAAAAAAGAATTAAAATCAAATGTTAATAAACATATTTAAATAATAGGTTAAACTCTTCCCCTTTCAATTGGCAGTGATTAATCATATAGAATATATTTCTGTCAGCTGAGCATGATGGGTCAAACCTGTAATCACAGCCCAGGAGTTTGAGACCAGCCTAAGCAACATAGTAAGACCCATCTCTACAAAAAATCAAAATAATTAGCCAGGTGTAGGGGTGCACACCTGTTGTTCCAACTACTTGAGAGGTTGAGGTGGAAGGATCACCTGAGCCCAGGATTTCGAGGCTGCAGTAAGCCGTGATCGTGCCACTGCACTGCAACCTGAGTGACAGAGTGAGACTCCAACTCAAAGAAAAAGAAAAAGAAGAGAAAAATAGATTTTTCAGCTGGGCACGTGGCTCTTGCCTTAATTCCAGCATTCTGGGAGGCTGAGGTGAGAGGACTGCTTGAGCTCAGGAGTTTAAGACCAACTTGGGCAACATAGACCTGACCACTACAAAAACTAAAAAATTAGGCAGCATGGCACACACCTGTTAGTTACTCAGGATGCTGAGGCAGAAGGATCACCTGATCACCTGAGCCCAGAAGGTTGAGGTTGTCATCTTAACTCAACAAAAACCGTTACTTTTTTCATTACAGTATATTCATTAGTATTTTATTATTTATTATATTTTATTAATTTTACCACTGTCCTCCAGCCTGGGCAACAGAGTGAGACCCCAACTGAGGGTGGGGGGGGAAAGAAAGGACATTTTCCTTGTTTTGTGAAATACTACTACTACACATAAATGACAGGCATAAAAACTTAATCCATTTTTTAGCTATCTAGACAAAATTTTTATCTATGGTTTCAACCAATGTATTTGACAAACATAGTGTTTCTCTCAAAATATTCAAATTAGAATAGAAGAATCAGGGTTACTAATTCAGAGCATCCCAAAATGGACCAAGAAAATGCTTTACACAAAAGTTTTCAGATTCAGCTTACTGCTTAGTTAAAAAAAAAGAAGAAGAAGAAGAAGCTGGGTTTGGTAAATCAGCCTATAATCCCAGCACTATGGGAGGACAAGGCAAGTGGATTGCCTGAGCCCACGGTTTCAAGACCAGCCCAGGCAACTTGGCAAGACCTCGTCTCTACAATAAATAAAAAATTAGCCAGCATGGTAGCAGACGCCTATAGCTTTGGCTACTTGGAAGGCTGAGGCAGAAGGATCGCTAGAGCCCAGCAGGTCAACGCTGGGGTACCTGAGAGTGTACCACTGCTCTCCAGTCAGGGCAACAGAGTGAGTCTCCAACTCAAAAAAAAAAAAAGAAAGAAAGAAAGATAAAGACTCAGGCACCTCAACTATCCTGTTCTCTGAAAGAGTACAAAGTATACAAAGTACGTAAAATGGTACCAACCTTATTAGCAGCTCTCTTTTTTTCTCTCAAGCCAGACTATGGTGAACACAGAGGCAGATTCATTGTATTTAATATCATCAACTGGTCTCCAGTTGCCTGTTACTCTGGGAATCTACCCTTTTGCTAAGACTGCAAGCTATGCCTTCCAGAGATAGTAAACAGGACTTGAAGAGGTAGAGACAGATATAAAAGGTACCACACAGATGACCAAGCTTAGCTCCAGAGTTAAGCAGACCTTGAGACAATGAAAATAAACTGATAATGATCATTTTCAGATAATTACAAAGGGAAAGTTCATGATTTTTGGTTAAGAGTCTCACTGTTGCCTAGGCTAGAGTACAGTGGCACGGTCGTGGCTCACTGCAGCCTCAACCTCCTGGGCTCAAGCAGTCCTTCCACCTCAGTCTTCTAAGTAGCTGGAACTACAGGCGTGCTTCACCGTGGCCAGCTGTGTTGCCTGGGCTGGTCTCAAATTTCTGGGTTCCAGCAGTCCTCTCTCCTCAGCCTTCCAAAGTGCTAGGATTATAGATGTAAACCACTGCACGTGGTCTAGAAAGTTGTTTGATTTCATAGTGGAGAACCTTGTCCAGCTCCACCTTAACCAAGTAGAGGAAATTCACTTCATTAGTAATGACACAGACCAATATAAGGTGCCTCCTCATATGATATACCAAGAAGAACACAACATCTCTTATGTAGTATTACCAACAAAGTGAGTAAGATAAGTTATTAGGAAGCACCAAGAAAACCCAAATTGAGTGACAGTCTACAAAGTAACATCCCTGTATTCTTCAGCAGTGGATTGAATAATGACTATAAAAGCAGAGAAAAAAGTAGACTGACTCAGGAAATATCTAGAAAATACATGTCTTGAAGACCTGTGTTTTCTATGTAGCAGGTGCTACCATTTATGTAAAAAAAAAAAAAAGTAACACTTCAGAAGCCAGTGTGTACCTAAGATTATGTTCATTACCCTAAGATTATATCTGCTTTCCTTAGAGGAAATGGGATTCTTTTAATGGTGATAAAATATATATAGCAAATTTTTTATTTTAATCATTTTAAGTGTACAATTAGTGTACACTTATTAAGAAGTAAAGAAGTGACCATGCGTGGTGGCTCATGCCTATAATCCTAGCACTTTGGGAGGCAGAGGCAGGAGGATTGCTTGAGCCCAGGAGTTCAAGACCAACCTGGGCAACATAGCGAGACCTTGTCTCTACCAAAAAAAGCCAGATGTGGTGATGGTGTGCACCTGTAGTCCAGGCTACTTGGGAGGCTGAGGTGGGAGGATAATCTAAGCCCAAGACAACTGCACTCCAGTCGTGCCATTGCACTCCAACCTGGATGACAGAGTGAGACCCCGACTCAAAAAAAAAAAGTAAAGAAGTGCATTCACACTGTTGTGCAAAGATCACCACCATCCATCCAGAACCCTTTTTATCTTGTAAAACTGAAACTATGTACCCATTAAACAAAAACCCCTACTTCCCTCTTCCCACAGCTACTGGAAACCGTCATTCTGCTTTATGTTTCTACTGTTGAA